AGCCGAAGGTCTCATTTTTAAACTCAGAGCTTGTACAATTAAAGTAGGAACTTGATGTCAAAGCACAAGTGCTTTATTAGCAGCTTCTTGGTACATATTAAAATGAAGCATATCCTGAGTTCTGCATGTTTCTGTCTTATAACGTTCAACGAAACGTGATCCAGTTGCGCGAGATATTACAGAGATTGCCAATAATAAATAGCTTGCAAAAGATTTTTCAATGTTTTCTGTTTCGCCAGAAACTGAACTCTAAATCGAAACCGCCTCATTTAACGCCAGACAATATTAGAAGAAGAAAACAGCGAACACAATGTGAGCAGGCACAACTAGCAAATACAGTTTTGTTCCAATCTCAAATCTGCCTGGGAACAAAGATTGAAAAGTGCGTCCTTTTGCACAAAAATACGGCCCGAAATTAGAAATGCAGATGCAATACCATTAACCTCAGCAAAATGCAGTAGTTCGCTTGTGTTTTTTAAATCAGAATTTAACCACGATAAAAACTAAATAAACCACTTTTGGATAGCATTTTCGTGACTGCAGGTCTCTGTTCGCTAAATGCCACATCTATTCTCAGAACAAATCCCATTATGCTGTTTTGTCCTCACATAGGAATGGATTCGGAGGAGGTTCGTGCGTACATTCAAAAGCTGACCGACGACAACGATAACATGATTGTCCAAACGAAATGCCTTCATAGCGAGCTGCAGTGGCTCTCATCTCGCTACGCCATTCTACAATATCAAAACATATTTCTTCGGTTTCTGCATCTAAGACGCTCAGTAAAATCAGTGATTTATGGAGAATTGGTCTCCGAAATTATGTAAGTTCTGTGGTTTATAGCTTGCACTTATATATTTGCCTCGGCCACACGTGCAACGGCATGTAAATGCAGTTGCAAATGTGACATAAGCCTGGTCTTACGTGATTTTTCTACTGACCATTTAACAGTAGACTGCAGGATAATAGTAAATAAAATGGAATATTAAACTTATCTCAAAGTTGCGAGCCATTTTCCTATATCCCTTTCGGTTTACTCATCATTCAAACCCACAAATGGAATATTTCATCGGCATTCGGGTCCAAACTACTTCAAATTTTAGAAAGCGAATGACCCTCAAAACACCTTAACGATTTGGCAAGTAGACACTTCAAATTGATAAATGGCTTAAAATTCATTTTTAAAATTGGCCAACAGTGCCCATCACAAAACTAAAGTTTGAAAATTTTATTCTCTAAACACGTGTTTTCAGCAGATCATAATCAGATCAGTACATCTGCGGGGACAGTGAAGATCGTACAAATGGACAGGGTTAATAAGGGTCCCTTGCTTACAAATCATCGTTTTCACGCTGCCGGCATAGGGAAGTCGTCCTGTGGAGGTCCTAATCCTGGGGTACGGGGAAAAGAAAGGGAATTAGGATAGGTTGTGAGTGTGTGTCGTGGGTCCGGTACGTAACGTGATAATTACTGTCACTTGCACGGAGTGGACGAATGTCACTAGGACATAGAGGCGATATGCAATCGGTGTTCCTTTGGCTCCTCCCCCCAGCGCAAGCATCTATCCACGCCAGTCTATCTATGCGGGCTGCATCAAAGCGATGAGTTGTAATCAATAGCCCCTTATTAATCCTGTCGAACTGTGCGATTTTCAGTATCCCTGCCGAATAAACTTTTCAAACTAAACATGAGAATATTTGCAAAAAAACCAAAATTATTGGCTGAAAAACTTACAATCTGCAAAGGCAGTTAAAAATATCTACAGCAATGATTTATACGTATCATAAAGCTACCATATTCTTTTATATATTTTTTAAAGCTCTTTGTTTGCCGAAATTTTATTCCCGCGTATCATTTTTCGGATTATTGATGGCTACAAATGTGCGCTTCGACCCTCGTCTCTGCTGAATATGACATTTTTCTAGATCTTTAATTAAGGTTTTTCTATAGACTTCGAGAAATTCAGAATTCATGATTAACTTGTCTCTTCTGTTTATTTCGAAAGAAAAACACTATAATAAATAGGCTGCAATGAAAAATAATATAGAGGATTATTACAAATGATAAATATGTGGTCTGTGCAACTTGAGTGGTTACAAAACGAAACGTTTCAATCGAATAAGGCTTTGAACAAAAATGACAAATGTTATCTTTAGGAACTTAGATTATCGAATGAATCAGATATTTTTTGCGTCACCTTTACTAATAAAAATTAAGGAACAGACAGTTAACTTAATCACTTACTGCCAAAGAACACACGCCTTGCTGTGACATCGGAAAAACAGTTACCGACGACGATGAACAATATGTTTACTCAAATTCGCAAACTCTAATCAAATATCTGCGCAGGCCTGTCTCTTTAAGTCAAGTCAGTCAAATTTAATGAAGATGTCTTGATAAAATGCTCGAAAACAATTTGAATAGATAATAATAAGTTGACATTAAAGAAATAGAAACATTTTAATTTTGTTGTGCAATTCTTAGGAATTCAGACGTAACGTTTACGGTTAATAAAGAATGCGGTAAAGTAACTTAAATTTAAAGTTCATTTAATGTGGAAATTATCAGACTACCGCTTAGTTTGATATGGCTTAATTAAAATCGCTTTTTAATAGGACGCATAGATCCATGGTTAGTCCCGTTGTTCTGATGTATTATGGAATACTTATAGTTCTTTTTCACATGTAGCTCAGCATGGCGCCTCAATAAGTGCTTAGTCAACCTTACCTCGTGTCTCAAACAGACGTCAGCCGCATGTAAAAGTTTAAAATCCGTCCATAAAATTATGTTATTTATATTTTATTCTCAGTAGAACATTCATACATCCGTAGTGGACTAAAAGAAGGCAAATTCTATTCTCTCTATCCTTTGATACGTTGGTTGATTTGCCTTAAACAAAATGGCGATGATTTTTTCCCTTAAAACATGCGTTTTGTGGTCTAACTAACTTCCAAATAGCTCGATAAATTAAGAAACCGTATCATAAAGAGAACTGAAGTATCTTAATGAACAGAAATACTTAGGCACCCTTCATTAATAATTCTTTCGAAGGTTTAAGCCACTGGGATCCAAGTGAGTGCCCGTAATCCGCAGGTTTGCCTGTACTGACTACGATTCTAGCTACATTCGGCGCAAAGCCATTTTGAAGAAGTAACAATATCACCGTTGCGTTGCACACAATTTATCGCTTGCTAAACTAAAGTTTTATTTTGCAAAATTTAGTTGTAAGATCCCTCTAGGTATCTATCCCCCGCCCAACTGCTTAACGTATTTTGCGGTCAAAAATAAAAATATTGGTTAGTAACCGTATATTAATATGTAATTACGGCGAAAGTGATCAAATAATATTTAATTAAGTACGACTATGCTTGTTTTAGTATGCTAACCTAGACTAAAATTCGATAAACATAAACTTCTGTCGCGCAGGATACGAGTGCACATTGACGGAAATTAAACCTTACAGTTACCCACTATTACATTATTTAAGCATTTCTTGGAAGTTAAAGTTGACTTTCACATTGAAACTTAAAGCCAATGGATGCAAACTTTTGGGAGGATCACCGATCAATTTCTAAGCAGAAAAAAGCGTTAGATGGACGTGGTTGCAGCCACATTTCATCAGCTGATTCACAAGTTGTCGGCCGCATCGCGAACATGTCCCAGGGACCCGTCACCTCTCACCGTTTGATTATCAAAACCAAGGCACCTAGACGAGACCTTAATGAGTTTTCAGATGTCCTGCAAAAGCAGCTTTTTCCGACCGCGGACATCGGCCTGTATGCGAAAAAAGAACGCCACAAACCACTTATTTTTTGCGGGCGCCATTCGGGACACGACGTTGCAAGATCATTAGTCCATCTTTGCTGGCAACCCTAGCATCGGCTTCGGCCAAATTTTAGAACGCTCTCGATGCAACAGTCGCCTGTGCTTAATCCAAAAAATTAAGTTCTTTTCGCATCTATCCTACAACAGCGCTTGACTGTTGACGTGCAGAATGTGTGGCAATCGCGATTTGTTCCTCAGCCTTCTTCTTATTTTTCAAAGATTGTACTTTTTAGCGACTGTCGTGGTTTTAAATGCTTAATCCACTCACTTAAGGAAAATATTTGGTCATTTGATTCCGAACAACATTATTGTGAAGGATATGTTAATTGACAGGAAACCTAAACTGAATTGCCAAAATTATAATTAAAAAAACGTGTTCGTTTACCATTAAGCGTCTGAAGTGATCATTCCGTATGTCACATCCTACGATGACATTATTAAGACGGCTGCTTACGGTACGTTGTTTTCTGAAATAAACATTGTTTTTTGACATTTGTTTATGAAAATGCATTAATGAAATCTTTCAAACTACCCCTGTTTTTTTTCATTTCCAATCGTGGTCGCTTGCAGGAACTAAACTTCACCCCTCAAAATCTTCGCCCCAACTGACCTCAGCTGAACGGCCAAAGGAGAGGGTTATCGCTCATGACATTTTCTTTTTTGTTTTAATGTCGAAATCGGAAATATCTACGGAGAAATGGCAAGGAAACTGCTCAACGCACAAACTCATTTTTTTCTCGTTGGCTAACGGCTGGACCTCAACACATTTTGTTAAAATACCCCCCATTTGTTACAACACTTGACGGTTTTACTACTTGAGTCTTTTGAAACAGTACAAAAAAATTCATAACGCCTGATGTCGGCAAAAGTGTTCCCATTTCCTTAAATGTATATCAATATGGCTAAAGATATACGAGCTTATATGATGCCCGATCCCGCTTTCGGACTTATTAACTATGTCTTGAAATCGGGCTCAGGTTAGTCAAGGAAAAAAGGATACGAAGATGACATGGACGTCTACTTTGACAATAACCCAGTGAAAGTCAACGTCTCTGCACCATCCTCCCGTGAAGCATACGGCGAACATCGTCGAAATAGACGGTCGAACTGTCGTTTGTATGTGTGTGAAGTCTGGGTACAATTATCTCTGTTTGCGGCAAACAGAAAGATACAGTACTGCAAGTCCAGCGTGCAACTTGTAAAACGAATTTTGACTTGGTACTTTAGCATGTATGTGGACAGGTTATTTTGATCAACTTAGTGAATTTTTATAATTAGAAAGGCTTTAGTTTGGAAAAATGCCCTGTTGGCTAAATTTATGGAGCGAAATAGGCCCTAATTTTAGCTAAGTCATGAGTACGTTTTTATCGGATAAATTTTCCTACGCTATAATGTATGACAGAACCAAAATTTTTATTAATATGCGTTCTACTATGGAAGAATTCCAAAATAAGTAAAACAACTTGGAAAAATTGTCCCTTCCAGAACTGAAAATGTTGTCCAAATTTATCAACTAGACGTGAAGCCAAGTTAAAGCCTAGAACATTATGCTTGGCTAACTTGTGAAGCTTTTTGCGCAAACTGCAGTAAACCGGACCTCTGACCTTGCCGTTCAAGCAGAGTGTCTGCGTATGTTTTCGCGCAGGTATTGTGATAAACGCCATATGGAATGTAATTTATGTAGTAAAATACGTTTTTGAAAACTGTTTATTCCGCTTCTGCGTTATTTAGAAGCGGAATGTATAGCAGCATAATATATTTCAAAAAAACTGCCCTAGATAAGGCCATTTTTTTGCATTCGCAAACTTACAAAACATCGAGGGACTAATCCATGTGACATTATTTTGGAATAAGTTAATTTGCACGCAACGCGTCAGCTGAATATATAATAAAATTAATTTTTATAGAGGAAAGCTATTATCGAAGGCTTATTTATTTATCTAAGAAATCACAATATCCGAGTTACCTTGCGGACGTTCCGCATACTCGACAGTGTGGTTTG